AAGAAACCTATCCTAGTGTTTAGTTTTGTCCGAAGGTACTTTTGAAGATTGAAAAGATGCTGCATCTGCAAGGAGGGAGAAAGTTCTGCCAAGGGGGTAGCATGAAGGCGAAAAAAAATCGCTCTGAGTGTAGTACTCTCAAGAAGGGAAGGAAAAAGATATAAAAAGCGCGACGCTGATCTTCCCCAATACCAGTATCAAGGCAGTGAGAAACCCTGAGAGTAGTCTACGAAGGCAGATCATGTGGCCGCCTGTTTCTGTCTGCTACCGCTTTGGGTGCAAAATGACATGCTTGTCCCTGTCTGGGCATGAGACCTTAAAGATTTGGCATCTGTGTGGAGACAGAGGAATGTCACTCTGGGAGAGGTTGTCTTCAAACTTGTCTTGCCCCAGAACCGGTGTTACTTGGTCAGATAACTGTGCCTCGTCCCAACCAACACCCAGTTACAAAATAAAATTAAATTAAAATTTAAAAAAAATTAAAAAGCAAAGTTTAAACCACCCGTCAGAAAATGGGGGAGGGGTGGGATGCTCTGTGATAAGGCAGAGCTTTAAGGAGAATGGCTCATTTGTCTCAGCCGGAACAACCGCAACCAAAAAGAAGTTAATTGACGTAAAGTTGCTCGAGCACGTGGGTATTTTATTCTAACTACTGCATTTTAATTAAAAAGAAAACTTATTTATGTTTCTGATGTTTACACGGAGTAATTTAATTACTTTTAGAGGCCGGCTCGAATTTCGTCCCCGCCCCCAGCCCCAGCCCAGTCACATTTTCATTAAAGGTTTTAATAGGAAAACTCCCTTGACTGGGATTCATTATCTAACCCTTTCTAAGCACACGAGTTCACTTACCCATTCACTTACTCACTTACTCATTCCAGCAGATCCACTGCGCAGCGCTGCTAGCAGGAATGTGAACTCTCATAATTATTTTTCAAAGTCTGGGAAGTGTATTATCCCTTTTTCTAGCAGTAATTAGTTACCATAGCATCTAATACGCAAATGTGCCCAGAGCACACCATTAACAGTTAAACGGAGGATTCAATTTAACACATAATTATATCTTTCATAAGTCATTACATTGGAAAAGTCAATGTCACTCATGCTGGGACAATCGAGCGATTCAGGGTGGGGTGGGAGTGAGGGGGCTGCCCAGGATTAAGGGGAGAGAGACAGTCCTAGCGAATTCGATGGGGGGGGGTGACTAATTCTAAGAGTGGACACCGGGACTCCCCACAAGTAGGGCGCTGTAGGTCTATGTGGGTTGGGATAAGAGGACCTGGAATTAAAAGGAAAAACCGGACAAGATCTTCAAGAGGATATTGTGACCTATGGAAGCAGTAAGGGGCAAATACACACACACACACACATACTGACATATACAGACACACACACACAGCATGTCACAGAGGGAGAGAGAAAGCAGAAGAGAGGTAAGAGATCACTTTGTAGGTCTTGGTCAGTGATGGTGCAAAGCTGACTTGGTGTCAGCGCTCAATGACAGAGAGGAAGTGATCTGAAGTGGAGTGATTTGAAAAGCAGGAACAGGTCTTCCGAGCCTCTTCTGCCCTCTCAGCTCCCTAAGACTAAAAATAAATAAATATCTAGATTAACCCCTGGCGAGGTGTGACGTGGGAAAGAGAGCCGCCTGGCCAAAGCAGTTCTGTACTAGGTTTCTCCTCGGTTAACCTGTTTCAGGCTGGCACACGGGCCACGAAGCACACAGGTCGACCCACCACCTAGGAAACACCTCCGTGAGAACATAGCATTATTGCAGTTAGTTTAGACAACTTACGCTTAAGAATGTTTTATAGAGTATGAGAGACATGCTTCTCCAGAAGATCTGACGCGGCAGAGAGGAAAATCTCTGAGCTTTAAGACTGAAAGAGTCCAGAGAAGAGTTTGAGAGGAAAGCACTTTTTATCTTAATCCTTCTCTATCTTCAAGGAAAGATGATGCAGGGGAAACTTTTTTTTTTTTTTTTTGAGAGGAGGAGGAGGGGTAGGGAAAGGGGCGGGACGTCTGGGAGGTAAAGCCACTTACAAAGGATGTCTGCAACCGGAACTAAAAGACACCAGTTTAAAGCACCAAGAGCCCTTCTTCAGGTCACTCCAGTTTTAATGCACTATTGAAAGAGCCGCATACAAGCAACTTCTTGGGCTGGGAAAAGAGTTCATTTGTCTGAAATTAGTGAAGAAGAAATAAAGGTGATTATTATTATTATTTTTAATGGTAATACTTTTATCCAAGCTGTTCTGACATCTCAACGCCACAATATCACCGCCGCCCCCCACCCCCACCCCCAATCTCTTTCACACCACTGGGGCTACACTCTCGGGGGTGGGGGGAATCTCTTTTTCTTCTGAACACAGTGATTTGTTATTCGCTACAATTTCTAAGAGTAATTGAGCAGCATCTTGACTACAAGGGAAATATTTCAAGGAGGGCTTCTTGTAATGAGAAATATTAAGCAGTAAATCTTGCAGCCGGTGTGTCCCCTCGCTGTTAACATGCAAGGGGGGAAAGAAGGCCGGCTGGTGGTGACTGCAGTTAATTCCTAATCAGAATGATGGACAGCAGAGACAGAACAATACAAACTAATGGCTGTGTTGCTGATCACTTTACCCCTTGATTAAAGACACCCAATTATGGCGCAGAACAGTGTCGTAATTACGTTCCTTAATCACATCCAGGAGGTTTAATTGCCTTAACGATGTGTTTCATTAAATGAATTTAGGTATTATAGTCGACAGTTTTCATACACAGTTGTTTTCAAATTAACATAATATTAGACATCGTCATGGAAATTGTTTTAATAATCATAATTAGACGCACCCAGGCTTTGTCTGGTAAATGTTGAGAGACGGGTCTCCTTGCGCCTGGGGGCTGCTCTGCCCACCCTGTCTGGGCTCCCTTCCCACAGCTCCGTGGCCCTTTACAGTTATGTTTCCTGAAAAGTTACAGGTTCTGATTAATCCTTTTTGATAGCAAGTGGACCAGAAAATATTGCACTCTCCTCCCCTACACCCCTATTACATTTGATGGTATTTAGGAATATCATTAAAAGATGACGCTAAACAGACCCAATAAACTTGGCATATTGAGTCCAGATGAAACACAGTAACATCATCACCAACACCACCATCACCATCACTGTCACGACCACTACCATAAAAAGAAAGTCCTCTGTATTTGTGATCACTGCTGAGGAACAGATGGGTGGCCAGACAAGCTTTTCCTTTCCCGACCCCCCACCCCCACCCCAGCCTCCTGTACTAGCTACAAAAGCTCCCTCCATATCACCACTAGTCAGCTCGATATTCTCCATGTACACCATCAGTTATGTTCATTTATATTTATAATTTAACCTGACTGATTCTCTTGGCATGAAAAAAAGATGAGTGACAATAAGCTACCCAACCTCTAAGAGACTTAATTCCCCCTAACTCTTGATTCTTACTCAGCTGGGGATCGAAACTGAGTAAAATCCTCCAAGAAAGTTTAACTCTGGCAGTTGTAGGGGAAAATGAGAAACTAACAGCTTGGGAGTTCTTTGCTCCCTACAAGCATCTAATGTTTGAAACCTCCATCCCAAGTGTTAAGGTAGTCTCTCCCCAGGTCCTTTTAGTCCAGAACCCAGGGGCTTTTTCGTGCCTCATTATTAACCCCATTTAGCTCTTCTCCAGTAATTCAGCCCAGTACTGATTAAAAAGGTGAATGATCTTAATACTATTAATGTTTCCCTTCCGAAACTTCAGTTTCACATTCCCTGAAACGGTTTTTTTTTTGGGGGGGGGCACTGATGATGGTCATTTTCCGGCTAACTACCAGGGAAAAAGAGAGATGTGATTTCTCCTTCCACAAAGCACAGCATAATAAAAATGTTTGTTCAAAATATTTTAATAAAGATTCTTTCTGACACAGATACACATACAAATGATCATACATAGCTGTCATATTCTGATTGACCTATTTAATATATATCGCTCTTTACAAAACCACGACCTGCCAACAAAGCCATCATGACTCCTAGATTATCATCTTCCTGACAGAGTTTGCATTATCTGTAAGAAATGGAAAAGAACAGGGCTCATTTTTTTTAAAAAAGAGATTTTCTTGATTTTCAAGTGGCAGAGAGGCAGGTAACCAGCCATGCAAACTAAAACTGAAAGCTCACTTTGGATAAATAGCTTTTTCTTGCTCTTCCTTAGTTTTATTTTATTATTATTTTATTATTTTTTAGAAAAATAACAAAAAATCCACACCTTAGGCAAACCAAAGTCTTTGAACTTAAATAATCTTCCACAGATAAAATAAGTTTTATACATATTAAAAGGAATTAAATTAGACCTTCTAAAAATGCACAGCACAGCCTGAAAAAATATTTTCTTGGCAATGTTTTTACTTATAGGATCTATTGCTGTGATGCCTTGTAAAAGTAAATCGCTATTTCCCTTTTGGAATGCAAAGAAGAATCCCCTTTCAAAAAGTGATCAATTCATTCAGCAATTAAGAATACACCTTTCCTGTAATTTTTGGACTGAAGCAATTTATTAAAGCTCAATTTAAATACAGGGATGATGCAACTGAAAAAAAAATCCAGATGACCTTTCATAAACCTAAGCAGCTCTGATACATCAATATTTCTGTTTATACGTTGTTGGCAAATAAACCTTTTAAACACTTGGCACACAGTATAAGTTAATCCATAAAACAGAATTTTAGAGGCATAAAAAAAACCTGCACATGAGACCCGTGATCTTAACACATGATAAATACTGTTGGTGTAGAGAGGTCCTCGAAGAATAACAAATAAATATCATGTATTGTTACACATCATTGCAAAGTGGAAAGTAACAAGGTGCACATAAACATTTAAAAATGCAAAATACTTTCAGCCACACGAGTCTTTTAAAGTCACTCTCCCTAAAACTTTGCATTTTCACAGGATTAGAGTTCAGAGACAATAAAAATACAAGTCTTTCATAGCAACGTTTAAGTTTTTTTTTTTTCATTTAAATAAGTCTACTTTTCAAGTTTTTCTCCTGGCTCAGAATCAAAAATTATTTTCAAGTGCCCTTTCTGATTTGTCTGAATGAATATCCGGTCTGCCGCCCCACCCAACCCCGACCCATAAAACCCTCAGTCCTAACCAAATTCATCATTATTAGTAGGATTAGTGTTTTGCTTTAAATAAATCTCTCTCCTGCTTAATATTTGAGACGCTATTTCTCAACTCCCACCCCCTCTTCCATAAAAGGCGACTTATTACTTAATTGGCATAAAAGTCACCACTTTTTAATGAAAAATAAAGCCACCCTCCTCTCCCCCATGAATTCCGCATACCCCATCCCACAATTGCCCTACCTCCCACCGCCGCCCCCTCCCCTTCGAAAAAATCCACGGAGAATCCGCAGAAGTTACGGCCAAAGTCCTATTTGTCTTTCTGATTCTTCAGGTTGGTTCGCTCTTTTGCTGTGTCGATTCAATGTTTTGCAACTATTTGGGGACAAAATAAAGAAGAAAAGGGGAGGGAAGCAATAAGATCTTCTTCCTCTAGCGTTTGGGTAGGTTTTGTGTGTATGTTTTGTGTTTAAGGCTTCTCCGTGCACTGTTTGCAGAGGCTGGAGGAGACGCTGTTGAAAAGGGCGCACTTCTCCGGACAGGAGCCCGCCGGGGGAAGCCCGGCGCTGAATGGATAGCCGGCCGCTTGCTCGTAGGCGCCTAGGGCTGGGTGAAGCGCAGCGGCAGCAGCCGCGGCCGCCGCGGCCGAGCTGGGCAGCGAGGCAGCCGAGATGGCCTGGCCCTGGTTGAGGTAGGCAACAAGCCTCCTCATCTCCTCCAGGGCCTGTGCCTGCATGAGGATGTAGTTCTTGGCCAGCAGCAGCGTGGCGATCTTGGAGAGCTTCCTCACTGAAGGGCTGTGCGCGTACGGAATCACCGCCCGCAGCTCGTCCAGCGCGTCGTTCAGGTCGTGCATTCGCCGCCGCTCGCGGGCGTTAATGTTGAGCCGCAGCGCCTTCTGTTCTTTGGATTTCTTGCTGCTGCTGCTGCTGCTGCTGTTGCCCCCACCGCCTCCCGGGGCCCCCGGGGGGCCGCCACCACCGCCGTGGTGGTGATTATTGGAGCAGCCCTCAGCTGCTTTGGGGCCTCCGGGGCCCCCGACTCCCCCTCCTCCTGGGGAGGCCCGGGGCTCGCTCCCCCCGCCTCGAAGCACCAGCTCGCAGCGCCCGTCGCTATCGTCGTCGGGGCTCTGTTCGCCGCCGCTACTCTCCGCTACCGAGCTGCGGCTGGTGCTTTCGCCGTACTTGAGGCACAGGGCTGCTCCGGCGGGCAGGCTGTTCAGGCTGGGGTCTCCCCCGACTCCAGTGGAGCCCACCAACAGCCCGGGGACCCCCACCCCTCCTCCTCCTCCTCCACCACTGCCACCGCCTCCTCCACCTCCTCCTCCTCCTCCTCCACCGCCACCTCCTCCTCCTCCTCCTCCTCCTCCACCTCCTCCTCCTCCTCCGCCGGGCGGCGGCAGCAACAACCCTGCCCCCTCCGGGTCGGCAGGTTCGAAGCAACCCAGGGGCGACGAGGAGGACGACGCCTGGCGGTCCCGGGGCGGTGGCAGCGGCGACGGTGGCGGAGGCGGCGGTTGCTGCTGCTGCTGCGGCGGCGCCAGAGACAGGTCCATCCCCGGGGGCGTGGAGCGGAATGCCGACTCCAGACGCTTGGCCGAGGCGGCGCTCAGGCTCTTGTGCAGGAAAAGGTCTTCTTCGGCCACAGCCGCTGCGTTGAGGTGCAGACTGCGCTCCATTGTCCGGCCCCCAGCGAAAAGCCTGGGTCTCCGCCGCCCGTCCTTTCGCGTCGACCCTCCGCGCGACCGCCGCCTCCTGCTGGGGAGTCAGCAGCCGCCGCGGCCGCCGCTGCAGCAGCAGCAGCAGGCACTGCTGCTGCCGCCGAGCCTGGGTCTGTGGGCTGTGCGGGCGTCAGTCCCGGCGCTCCCGAGAGCCCTCTCCCCTTCTTTCTTTTTCTTTTTCTCCCGTCCCCAGCGCTCGCCTCCTCCTCCTCCTCCTTCTCCTCTTCTTTTTCTTCTTCTTCAGCCGATGGTGCTGGAGGCTGGAGCTCAACATGTACCGCGGCCGGGCATGGTGAGGGTGAGAGGGAGGGACCCGGAGTCGGAGCCGGCGTCGCCGCCGCTGCTGATGCTGTGAGCCAAACCAGCTCTTCTTCCCACCGTTTATCTTGCTTGGATTCACCTCCAAGAGATTTCCGGACCCATCAACCAGCCGCTGCCACAGACGGGGGAGTCTTTTACATCATTATCTCTGAGTAGGTTATTATGAAGAAGACTTGCCTGTTGGGACAGAGCTTTCTACCCAATCAGGTTAACGTTTTAATTAATAGGATTAAAACGGTAACAAACAATCCCAGGCGCTATCTGGCCCTGAGTCTGAATAGTTTCATTCCCCAGGTCTGAAGACAGGCAGCAGCTAGAGCTTTATAAAAGGCGCCTGCTCCATTATTCTCCCTGCCATCTGTATACACAGCTTAACGCATATGTTTGCAAGGCGTTGTGTCCTGTTAGTAACCCAACAACTGCCTTTAGCTTGACATGTGTGGCGACTTTCACTCATCAATGAGCACACTAAAAGCCCTACTTAGATCTAAGGATGTTCTTTGCCTCCTTCAGCAAATTGCAGATCTGCACCACCGAAGCCAGAGAGCCCCACTCAGAATACCGCCTCCCCCCACCACACACACGCTTTCCCCACCCCCACTCCCTATCTCTCCTAGTGCTCATCAGACTTCTGCTAAGTTACCCTTCCAATCCAGAATTACACTCCACCCCTGTTTACATGATAACTCTTATCTGCATTTGGAGAAGGAACTCGTGAGGAGGGGCAAAGGGGTGGCAACCAAAGGCAGGTGGAATGAACTGATGGAGGGAGAGGTTGATGTACCCGAAATTCCCCCTTATGGTTCCAGGAGACATCGTGAAATGGGAAAACACTTCATCCCCTCCCATTCCCACCCCCGCAACTAACTAGAGCCGTTCCTCCGCTCCCCTTCTTCATTTCTTGCCCCACTGCAAAATCAATGCAGACCAAAGGACCGTTGTGATTTTAGAGGAGTTTGCATCTTTTTCAGTTTCTTTCTGCTTTTTGCAGCCATGTCTATATAACCATTGAAGAGGTAATGATCATGAAGGACACGCCCTCTAACAGAAAGAAGCTGATTTCTCAAACTTTGCAGAACATAAGACTTTTAAAGCCACTTCTTTTTCTCCACTTCATGCAAAGTCAATTTTGTCAGAGGTCAATGCTCCTCAGCCCCACCAAATCCAAAGAACCTGCTCTGATTATTTATCCAGAGAGATAGTGTCCATACCACCAACGTAATCCATTCACGTGGATTCTTAGTGTTTTATCTCAGTTGTTCTTAGAGGGCTTGGTTTGTAAAGGGGGAGAATGTGAAAACCAGTGGCAGGGTCCTCTAATGGCACAACAGCATAAGCCACCCTCCCTGTTAGATGTTAATCACTGAAAGCACATGGCATTTCGTGGCAGGTTTTCATTCTTATGACATAAGTAAAAACAATATTTCCCAACACCTCCAGTAAATCATTCTTATGTGGCAGAATAACTGAAGGCTATGAAATTTCTGGTTTCTCTGGTTTCATTAAAATCCTTTTAATTGTGTCTTTCAGAGTTGGCCCCAGGTGTTGGACTCTTTTCATTACATTTTGCTCTAATGTGATGAAATTCTAATTCTCTCCTTACCATATGGTTAAATTTCCCCACTGAGAATTAGTTGAAAAAGGAGAAATAATCTATTAATCTCTGTAATAGATTCACAAATGAGGTTCGCCACAGAACCTGTTTTTGAATGGTAATATCAGAACAGTTGGGCGCCTCATTTCATAAAGAAAGGGCTATGGCTACAACCGAAACCCTTGCATTTTCACCTGCAAAAAAAAAAAAAAAAATGAAAAGAGACCTAAGTATCTTTTTTTCCCAAGCAATTGCCGAGATTCCACCTAAGAGGAACCGAGGTTCCACGTAGCTTTCCATTACTTACGTGTCTTTTGATTTTCCTAGAACTGAAACATTTAAAAATGAGCAGACTTCTCGAGCCTTCCCTATCTGGGAACCCACTCTTGAGTGTAGGAAAGATTTGGCTTGCGCACGTGTCCTGATTGAAAAGCAAACTGCACATTTACATAGAGGCCACAATGTCTCCCCCTCCTCGCACCCCCCCGCCCCCACTCCTTGCATCTGTTAACCTCTTTATTAATCCAAAGACATGGTAGTGTTATTGTTTTTCAATGAATAGCTTATTTTTCACTGGAATCATAAACAAGGATTCTCTATAAGCCAAGGTAAGTTGTGTCTGCTTAATATCAACTTGTAAAAATCATCGGACCACTTAAGGTTGACGGGAAAATCATTGGAATTTCATGGTTTTGAGCTGGGGTCGAGAGGTGGGGTGGTAGCGGGGGGGGTGGGGGGAGGAGGTGAGGGAGTTGATACAGCACAATTTGTTTTCTATCGGCGCAAAGAGACTGGTCCCAGGGGGTCTTTCATCTGGCTGTATGACTTCATTTCTCCTGGATTTCTCTTAGGGTCGGAACTTTTTGCGTAGTACATTCGCTTCATCTACCTGCCTTACTGGAGACTTTGGGGATGAAGAATGGTTGTTTCAGGAACTAATGGTAATGGATGACAAATACTCCCGAGGGACAGGAATGACAATGTGCAAAGGACAGAAAGGACAGGTGTAATAGACAAAGTATAAGGTGGGGGCCGAATGTCATCACTAGTATTGATCTTGAATAAACCCAGTGTCACCACTCCCCCAACAGGGCCATCATTTATACCATGATACTGGGTAGTCATTTGAATGTTCAGAATATACTGGACCAAATATTCTTTCTCCTTATTCTTATCCTCCTCCCATCTCATCCCAGGCTCACCTCCCCCAAACGCCGTGGAGTCTCCTTAATTATTCATTATTCCTTTGACGTTCAAACTTTCATGCAGTTTCAAATTTAACTTTCTAAAGGGGAGGGGTAAATCCTCTCCCATTTCTCAAACCAGAAAGCCAGTGACTAACTCTCTTCAGGTTCCCTGGAGAAGATGGGTGTTTAATAGTCTTGAGTAACTTTGCTTTGGAAGCCGGCAGAAGAATTTATAGAAGCTTTAAATGCGTGGCTTATAAAAACACCCGGGAAATGGTCTTTGAGGTTTATGCACTCATAAACTTTTGCTGATTGCTTCTGGGAAGTTGTCAGGCATTTAACACTGCATTTATCTTACAGTGCAATGAAAACACATCTGCCCAGTGTCTCGTTACCTGGTTTAATTGTAACACAGCCCTATGTCACCATCTAGGCGTCATCTCTTTCATTATTTGGGTAACAAGCAGCCTGGATAGGGAAGGGTGGAGGGGAGAAAGAAAGACACTGAACCCGCCAACTATGTCAAATACCGGAGATACAAGACGGTAGTGAACAAACAAAACATTCTCAAACTTTCTTCTACTGGTGAAATGTGAACAGGCTTTTTGGAAGCTCACATGTTAAGTCACAAGTTCGAAAAGCCGAAGAGTGGGTATCAAAGGAAGCTCCATTTCCTGATTCAGGATGGTGAAAGTTGGTCTCTGTAGCTTTGAGAAGGTTGCAAGTTGATCGATGAATGAAGCTTGGTTTGACCAGAAACCAGAATAGCATACTAACTATCGCTTACCTTTAAAAATGAACAGGAGACGGGAGAGAACTTTTCTTCTTTCCCTGCTGAGATACAGCCACAAGCTCTGTTACCTGCCAGTGGTGATTGGCGGAAAGGTTATTGACAATGTCTTTTTAAAAGAGCAAGGAACAGATTTCCTCTTAACATAAAATTGTGGTGGCTTAACACACTTGATTTGCTAGAAGGCAGAATACCCCTATTCTGCGTTTAGACTGAATTTTACTGACGCCCAAGCTATTTTATAAAGATTAAGACAGTTTCACTGCAGAAGGAGGGATGACACCTACAGCTCTGAAATGATGTTGGAATATTCAGCAATCAGCCCACCATTGAAATTAGAGCATTAGGCGTCTGACAGAGTTCCTATTTAGATTGGGCTTTAAAACTCTATGGTTGGAGGGGGCCAAGGAGAGACTTTTTTTTTTTTTTTTGGTACCACATACATTTCCAGACATTGAAAGTAAAAACAAAAATAAAATGAAACACCTAGTTCAGCCCGTGTTTGTAAAGTCAAACCAAGGGTCTTTTCTTGATTGGTAGCCCCGTCATTGGCTCAGCACCTATAGACAGCCTGCTGATCACTGAAGAAAAAGGCTCTAGGAGTCCAGAGTTACAACGTAGAATACAAAGGGCACCCGAGTTTGTTTGCTTGTTTTTCTATTGGGGGAGGGGTAAGGATGGGAAGTTTTACATGACTTTTTCTTTAAAAAAAAAAAAAAACCAAACCTCGAGGTCAATTGCAAAGTTCAGCAAAAGTCGTTCAATTTTGGGTTTAGACAGGTTTTGGAGAAGCATATGTACCAGTACGCTTTGGGACCTTTGTGGTTTACAGTAGCTCTGGGCGGTGGCTCAGCACGTAGAGACCATTCTATGACTTCAGAAAGAGTGGATTTGGAACAAACCGTGTTTGAGAACCTGTGCAGTCCCCGGCAAAGCAATCACTGCCAAATGTCGGGTTTGTAACAGTGTAACTTAGTGTATAGCCTAAGGAGGGGTTGGGGGCGGGGGGGGGGAGAGAAATACTCAACACTACGTTTGGTCCACAGGACGCGCCTTTTTTATCTGCTCCAGGCTGAGAAGAACTTTTACCTAC